GTTAAAAAGATTAAAAAAAAACAAACAAACATGCAAATAAGTTCAAACGTCAATTCAATATCTACTATTTCCTCAATATTTTGAAATTCAAGATGGCCGCATCTGATGACGTCATAATATGCAAATTAGACGAGTATATTTACACCCCACATAAACGTTCGGTCATGCCCAACATTTTTCTAATTTACAGTAGATCTCTATCTTTAAGCCCTTTCAAGCCACAAACTTTTGAAATCTTGATGTCAAAATCCAGCATTTTTCTCAAAAATCCCTGGCGCCTAAAGGGTTAAGTACAAACATCGAAGAAGAGTATCCCGGATAAGAGAAGAGAGTGGATGCTGAGTTATTGTTAGCATTTGAGAACAGATTTATTCTCACATGTTCTTCATACAAAATCGCCCCCTCACTCGGACTATCCCGCCCCCTCACTCAAGATGAGTGTGAAAATAGATTTTATTTATGAAATATAATGGTTTATTTAAAAAAATACAGTTGCCAAATGCATAGGCTTTCTAGCATTAATATGATCCTACTATAGCAACAATTTAGGGCAGTTCGTTTCACAAAGTCGCATTATTACATCTGACACAAACTTTCCGTTCAAGCGGTTCAACTAAGAATGCAGCACTACTGAGTAAGCTGTAAGATGAAGTGTGATGAAATAATTCTTTAATGTTTAATAGAGGGCTAGATGGTCGTAGTTAGTTTATTATTTCGCTGTATTGTTATTGTTTGTTGCTGTTCAAGTTGTTCTAACTTAAAATGATGCATCTTTTAAATAGGTCGCAATGAATGTGTTATGTCAGGGAATCGGTCGGTGTTTCAGTGTAAAGCAGACACAATTAAGTATTTCTGGTGGTTGTGGTGGTGTCACTTGTCTGTATTTGTGGTAAAACTGCTGCCTAAGACATATTATTTCCTGGATGTCAGATTTTCGAATTTGTTGCCTATGCGATTTTGTTTTATTCAATAGCTGCTACTCTGCCATCTATATTTGCTAAGTACCTTTTAGTAGGGTCATTCACTCAGAACGCAGTTTTCATTCCACCGCGGTACTTTTCCATTTTATTTCAAACTAAATGTGCTACGGACGTCTTTGAATTTGTGTTTGAATGCTGTGCTCGTCTCAGGTCTTTATAGCAGCTTGTCGCGCATAATACATCAGTCTAAAACCATACCTGTCAACCCTCCCGTTTTTCCCAGGATTCTCCCGTATTTTACAATTCTATCCCGCTATCTATCCCGTTTAAATATTTTCCCGTATTTTTAATCTTTCTATAAAAAAAATCCCACTGGGCGTATTTTATAGCCTATGTTTGCTACATTCGCCTCCATTAAAACTCCCGTAATTTGTATGGCCCAAACTTCATTATATGAATAATCACGTCAACAAATTGCAAGGTTGCCCAGTTGCCAGATCTTGTATGAAACGCATCCTTCTCGCTAGGGTTGCAACGGTTCTTGGTAAAAAATCGAACCGTACCGTTCTCCACACACGGTTCGGCATGCACTAGGACCGCAGTTCAGCTTAAATCTGACAATGCATCTGTAATATGGTTTGTTAGAGTTCGTCTAATGCATGTTTCTGTTGATGGATACAAATTCTGGCTTCTCAATACATTACAACAAGAGCGATGAGAGAGAAAAAAAAACAACTATACGTGGACAAACCAGTCACTCTTTGTTCAATGCGAGTGCTTTATGCTGGAATAACTGTTGATAGCGCAGGTGAGACCTGAACAGCACACGTTGCTATCTGTGTTTAAACTAAACTCATTTAAGCCTTGCCGGTTTAAATATGAAAGAGCCAGAAGACGCGAACTCGCGCGCTTAGTGAGAAGATCTGTGTGGTTGCTCAACTGAAGCGCGTGAACCCACGTCTCAGAACTCAGAAATTCACAAAACAATTATGTCAAAATGCTCATCTTGGTGAGTACCCTAGCAGACAGTCAGCTGAACGTACAGTATCAGTGCACTGGATCAATGCGTTCTCTTAAAGTGACAGCACTTTCTTAATATTAATCAAACAGCAACAACACGGAAATCTCTCACTGCTCTTGATTGAATAACTTTTGTAACTTTAATAAGGATTAATCTTTAATTTATACAGTCAAATATGCAATGTTATTTTACATTTGATTACTTTATTCAATTTCTGTACCTAAAAACTAATGTTAGACCTACCTAAAAAACCTGAAAAGCACTGTTTATTTTATTTGTATCTTTACTTTATTGTATTTATTTGTGCTGTTGCTTGTAGTTAGATTATTTGTTCTTATTTTCTTTATTTGACAATATAGTTTTTCCCTAAACATAGCACAGACCGAACCGTACCGAAACCGTGACTCTAAAACCGTGATACAAACCGAATCGCGAGTAAGTTGAACCGTTGCACCCCTACTTCTCACACAATTTCAACCCATTTGTCCCCTCAACTTGGCAACCTACAACAGTGCTGAGTACCGCGGGAAGGAAAGGATCACTGGTAGAAATGGGATGGGAGGAGAAGACTCAAAAAAACAAATAGGCTATACATGCAAATTGAGATATAGCTTACACTTCAAAAGGCTAATTCAGCTTCTAAAAACACGTCTCTAGACCTTGCGGTTTAAAAAAAAACCCACTGACCTGTCTCACGACCAAAACACTATCTGTGTGAACCCAGTATTAATAGTAGCGGGCAGGTTTGTTTACGATCCGACAAATACGAGAATGGGCCACATAGCCTATGTTTTTTTTTTACTTTGTGCTACATCATCGCCCCCTTTCGTTACCTCAGCTACGCTGGCGCTGGCTCTGGTCAGAGAGCGTTCACTCTTTTTCTACACATGAAATATGAAAGCAAATAGACGTGATTATGACGATATATTTTCTGTATGCGTTTTGTACGCAGCTCATGGTATTTTTATAGCAATAAAGGCTGTTTATGACAAATATTAGCAGTGTAGCGTAGGGGTTGCACCGACTAATCGACTAGTCGACTTCAATGCTCTGCCATGACGCTTTAAGCTTGGTCCTATAGAGGGCACAACAGGATAAGAAATCTTTGAAGGACTTCCACATTTACTCTCCGTTTCCAAACAGTTCAAATGATAAATAAATGCATACTCAGAAAGCACTCCACAAGACATGTGTGATTATATTACTGGATGCTCGAAATTGAACGGGAGAATGCACGTTTTAAACAGCTTATTGTACAGGTAAGTTAATCGCCGTTCTAATGTAATGTGCTGCTGCACTGTAACACACACACATAGGCTACAGACAGTAGCGCGTACATCACGCGCACAGAATCATTCAGCGCGGAAATGTATTGTCAACACTGTTCTGTGATTTCTCAATAAAATAGCTTAATTCTCCAGGTAGAATTAATTCACACACGCAATCGCTCTCACTAATGCATTCATATTAATGTAATCTTTACTGTGCTACTTTATCTGTATCTGATTTAGAACAAGCAGAAATCTGTGAGAAATATAACGACCCAAAGACAAAAGAACTGATAAAA